ACTGTGAAGGCCAAGATTGGGTGGCTGACACCTAAGACTCTAATGGCAAACCCGGGATCACTGAGCAAATAGAGAGGCCGCTCACCCATTCCATCAGACATGATGCTGTAGTGACATTTAAGTCCGTTTTGTTTTAATCAATAATAATACGCTTGTTAAATAACTTGGCACAAATTTGAATGAGACAAAGAACTATCACGTGCATTTTGACCTGCTGACGACTTTGTTCTTATTTACTAGTTTGTAACTGTTGGGATACTTTTATCTTCGTTTCCCGAATAGCCGACGTCCTGTGCCCAACTTATGGGTTTGTCACTTACATTGGTGACCCTTTATCGTTCATGGTTCCTTCTGTTTCAATTATGTGCATAACTATTTCCATTCGGATTTATCCTCACTCTACTTTTTATTTATCAGATTATTTATCCAGCCCTTATTTGCCAGTCACACTCTCACCTTTTCACCCAATATGAGCGCTAACCTTCAATCTCACTGTCAAGGCGCTAGCCCTCTTTCCCAATTATCTGACCTCTGACCGACATCGGCTAATTATGTCTAACGATTCTACCAGCCAGCCGATAGCTGGCATTCATACCTTCGACCTGCCATTCATGTGGCTAGGTGACATCGCGTTGTGGCTACGCACTGTGGAGTCCCGTTTCGCCCTCTGTTAGATTACGCGAGTGGATACGAAGTTGCACTATGTTTTGGGCAGCACTCCCAATGGATATCGTCACCGACCTCCGCGACATCATAGATTTCCCGTCCACAGAACCCCTATATAATGCCCATAAGGAGGCTCTAATTTCTCACATTTCATTATCAACGCAAAAACCTCTGCAACGTTTAAATTTCGCAGGAGGACCTCGGTGACAGGAAACCTACACAGTTTCTTAGGCGTTTGGAGCAGTTGGCAAACGGATAAAAGCTGGATGCTACCATATGCAAGCAGCTTCTTCTCCAACGGTTGCCTCCTTCTGTGCAAGCCATCCTTGCGCCTAACATTTCTTCTACGACTGTTCAGAGGCTCACAGAGACGGCTGACCGTATACTCGAGTACCAACAGCCTCCGGTTGCGGTAAACGTCCCTAGTCGAAGTACAATTACCCCGACAATCGAGGATGCCGTCAAATGCCTGGATGCCCTCACTTTCCCAGCTCCGAGCCACTCTTGTCTATAACCCTCGTAGTCCTGCAATTTCTCGCCGCCCGAGATCTCCCACTCCAAACCAACCTACAGTTGATAGTTTTTGTTGGTATCATCACAATGGTGGTTCTAACGCCCATCGCTGCCACTCTCCGTGGAAGTACAAGAACCCCGCGTTGGGTGGTGGGCACATCCTCTCCCAGTTGCTTACTCCACATCTATGACATGACTACCTGTCGTAATTTTCTCGTGGATACTGGTGCGGAGATCAGTCTACTCCCACCCACCTTGACTGACCGTAAGTCACCAAACTCTTCATTTTTCCTTCAAGCAGCTAGAGGCGGGTCCACTCTGCTCTAAATGCATTAGACAAGGTTGCCGCGAGTATGTGTGCGCTTTTCTTGATTACTCCTCCGCCTTCAATACCGTCCCGCGCCCTCTTCTCCTTACCAAAACCTCCACGTGCGGCTCTCCAGGCTGGGTCGTCTCCTGGCTTACCGATTATTTTACCTTTCGCACTCAATTTGTCCAATCTGGCAAGTGGAAATCTACAATCCTCCCCAATGACTGTGGTGTTCTTTGAGGTTCCATTCTATTCCCTCACCTTTTCTCCCTCCACACTGACGATCTAATGTCCCCTAATGACTGTCTTTTTGTCAAGTATGCTGATGATGTGATTGTTGGACTCCCTCTTAATAGTCAGACACACCTCCGGTCTCTGAGGGACGGTCTAAACCTAGTACTGGCGTGGTCTCAGCAAAATGATCTCCTAATTAACAACCAAAAATCTGTTCAGTGTATTTTTCGACTGCGGCCCCCTCCTAATCCTGAATCCTCTGACATTCTTCCTAACGAAGTATCCTCTTTCAGGTACCTCGGCTTTAATTGTCCTCAAATCTTTCATTTTACCTCCATTTTGTGTCTCCATTTACTAAAGTCCGTAAACTTCTTTATTATGCACTTCGTTTGCGTTCCTACCATACACCTCACCCCTTAGTCTGACGATTAATTGATGCCTGTATTCTTCCTCTTATCCTATACTTCTCTCCTGTAATTTTTCCTGCTTTGCTTAAACAAATTTTAATTTTAAAACGAGTCGTCCGTATGCTCTCTTCGGCTGCTGGTGTTTCTTACCTTTTTTATTTGACACTATCTTACAACGAAACTTCAATGCGGTCAAGCAATTTGCTGGTCGAATTCTAGATGACGTTGCTCATTCCTTACATTCTGATCTTATGTCTGCGAAATCTTCTCGCCCGATGCGCCGTACCTTCCGATTTAGAACGTGTCGCACATCGGCTTATCGAGCCTCTGTATTGCCATTCCTAGCGCGCTATCTTACGTGAGAAGAGAAAGAAATACGGAAGCTAAGAATTGAACTATCCTCATAAAAATGGTTTCTTTAAGTTAAAAGTTGACTCTTTAATCAGCTGTTAAATTATTTACTGCCCATAGTGAATGGAGCCAATTTTTTGCTGAAAATTTTGAACTTACGATTTTAAAATACAGCGACTTCCTCTCTCTCTCACTCCTCTCTCTCTCTGTCTCTAACAAGACTTCAATTAAAATTTTTGGCCAACAATCCCTAACGCTAGATTTGAGTCTAAGACGTTCATTTCGTTGGTTATGTACTATCGCTGATGTTCATACTGTCATTCTCGGTGCTGATTTGATATCCTTTTTCGGTCTCCTCGTTGACATTAATTTCCATAAATTATTTGACCCCAAGACTTCCTTAAACTGTACATGTTCCACTCGTACCCTTTCATCACCTAATTCACGCATTTCAACAATCCCTCCGTCTACTCCCTATCATCGTTTACTTTCGAAATTTCCATCTATCACACGACGCTCACAATTTAACCTTCGTATCAAGCATTCGTTTGTACATTATATTTCAACTACTGGACCACCCGTGTTCAGCCGTCTCCGTCGTTTAGCCGCCGATAATTGAGCCATCGCCAAGGCTGAATGTAGTCACACGATGGAGCTAGGTATAGTCAGGCCTTCCACTAGTCCATGGGCTGCACCTCTACGTATGGTGTGCAAAAATCTCTCGTTGACTGGCGCCCATGCGGGGATTACCGTCGGTTAAACACCTGTACTGTGCCTGACAGGTATCCGCTTCCCCATCTCCACGACTTTTCATCTAGCCTAGCCGGAGCAACAATATTTTCCAATATTGAATTAGTCAAACCTTTCCATCAAATACCTGCTGCTCCAGAAGACGTTCCCAAAACGGCGATTACAACAGCGTTTGGCCTGATCGAGTTTGTTAGGATGTCTTTTGGGCTACGCAACTCTGCTCAAACTTTCAACGTTTCATCAACGAAGCCCTTCGCGACTTACCTTTCGTTTTTGTTTACGTCTACGATGTTCTGGTGGCAAGTTCCAACGAACATGAACACCTACAACATTTGCGTCTCATTTTTGAACGATTGAGACACACCCCGGGTACAATTTTGTGTGACGTATCCGCGCGGTGCCTCCCGACCCATAGTATTAAGCGAGATGAGACGAGACGTTTTTGCTGCGTTGCACAATCTGGCTCATCCTGGTATTCGCACTACCCAACGCCTCGTCAGCGAGCGTTTCGTTTGGCCAAGCATGAACACTGATACCCGCCAGTGGACCCCCTCATTTTTGGCCTTTCCGAGGGCCAAAGTCGGACGGCACAACAAAGCCCCCATTGGTATTTTTCTTGCACCCGACGCACGTTTGGCACACGCCCATATCGATCTGGTAGGTCCTTTTCCAACATATTGTGGTTGCAACTACTTACTTACTGCGATTGGCGAATTTCTCGTTGGCCCCTTGCACCTCCCATACAAAACATAAGTGCACATTCCGTTGCTCATGTCTTATTGGAAGACTGGAGCCCTCATTAGGGCCTCCCCTCAACTATTACCAGCGATCGAGGCCGACACTTCGAGTCTAGACTTTTTATCAGCCTTACCGACCTCCTCGCATGTTCTCGTATACGTACTACAGCATCCCACCGCTCACCTTACTGTTTAGTCGAGCGTTTACATAGGCAAATCAAAGCCTCGCTTCGAGCTCATGACAAACCTTCCCAGTGGAGCGAACATCTGCGGCTGGTCATGGTCGGCATCTGCACTGCACTCAAGCCCGACTTGGAGTGTTCCGCTGCCCAACTTCGAGCCACTCCTCCACGTCCCCAACAAGTAAGTCGTTTATCGACCCGAACCTACTAACATGTTCTTTTGTATTTGTCCGTGTAGATAGCGTTCGTCGACCACTACAACAGCCCTATGACGGCCCATTTCGTGTACTATTTCGAACGGATAAGCATTTTAGAATTGACCGTGGAGGCCTCAGCGACGTGGTCTCAGTCGATTGCATGACGACGGCTTATATCGGGCCTCTTTCAACAGCCCCAACCGAACAACCTCAACTTGGCATATTGCAACTTGCTAGTTCCCAGACTCCACTTACGCCCAATAACTCTGCGCGTTCCCTTATCCGAAGGACTCTTCTCCTTACGCGCAGCGGTCGTCACGTTCTTATTTACTAGTTTGTAACTGTTAGGATACTTCTATCTTCGTTTCCCGGATAGCCTACTTACTGTGCCCAACTAATGGGTTTATCACTAACACTGCCATGACGCAGGCACCAGGTATAGATATGACAAAGAAAGACGGCTGAAAGTGTTGCAAACTCTCGGTTAGCCAAAATGTAGGTTACATAACGACGGAATTTTATTAATCTCTCCGATAACGTTGAAAACTGTACGGTACATAACACGGTTTACAGCACCCAGAAAAATAGTCGGTGTACGATGCAGCCATTGGTGCAGCATCAGTAAGAACCGCTGCCAGAGAGTGATTTCTGAATCACTCTTGCGACCTCATCTGTAGCACGTAGGTATCTACGAAGCCTTCCCGTTGAGGCGCGACCAAGTCAATTTCATGTATCACCTCGCCGCCGCGAATCAGTCGTTCGCGTACCCAGTCCAAATCATTTGAACTATCACTCACTTTCTGTACTGAGCTGTTCAAAGATACGCGCTCAACGAAGGCATATCTGTCCGCTAATTCAATACACGGTTTTGTGTGGTCTTTCGTATGGATTTCCAGGGGATGAAAATAGCCGAGTGCAGAGCAGTGGATATTGTCGGGGTAGGACTGTTGCAGAAAAGCAAACGTGTTTCTTGGCGCCGGAAACCACTGCGTGTAGAATGGTCTTAAAAGCAGTGGGAATACATCAGTCTTTGCGTAGATATAGGTTCGACCATAGGATCGGGCAAGCTCCCTGATGTGGGTAGCGTTAGAACTGTAGTAGCCGATGTCCACGTTGGGCCAACCCCAGGGATAAGCACTTAGTCTGCGACTACTATCAACATCCTCCAGTGTGTTGTTGGGTTCAATCAGTTTTGTGTAAATCTTGTCTCTGAGTCCAGCTTTATTTATGTAGATTTGGGGATTTAACTTCTCAATTTGCCGCCACAGCGCCGTTCTAACATTCAAGTCCACCAGAACATCAAGATCATCGTCCCAGGGCGTGACATCATGGTGACGAAAAGATCCAATGAGACTGCCGGCATAGATCATCCACCTGTCACTGGCACCGATCTCCTCCATAGCATTTGCAAATATGTTTAACAGATTCAACATTGTGCGCATCTGCGCACGACTGAATTTGGCTCCCATAGGATCTATATTGTTTCCTGGTGCACCCATCGGAATTGTTAAAAATTCCCGTTCCGGCCATGGTAGATTCTGAAGATTTGGAAGTCTTTTCCGTTTCGCATTTATGCGACCACTATCCACCACAAAGTCCTGTAATTTGAGCTGGTGCAGTCTTTTCTTGGGAGGATGAATTATTCGATTAGTATGCGGAGGTTCATTTGCAAGTTTGAGAATATAGTATGCAAAAAGAGTAACGAAGATCATGACTAAAATTGCAGTTAGCTGAATAGTCTTTTTTGTATCCATAACGTTCAGAGCTTCGGTAGAACTTCTTGCTCTTTCCCTTTGATGTGTGTAGGCCTTAAAAAATAAGACAATCGTATCAAACAAAGGTATCGCAATTTGACTCACAGAACGCAACGATATGTTGAAAGAACAAATAATGCTGTGGTAGCTCACTGCTCGTGTTATAGAACTCACCCCTCGCGTTGTGCCTTAGTGCTCACTTTCAAGCCCCATTAGAAGTGGCACAGCGACGCGTAACCTGAGCGGGACTTGAGAGAGCGTCCCAACTCACAACGCGCTAAGTGAGTTCCGTCGTGCGATCGGTAAACTTTCCTCTGCCATTGTAAATACCCTATCCCGACCGACAGGACGATGAGCCAATGCTTCAGTGTTAAGGGGGTTGAACTTTTAACCAACAGGTCCCGTGATCGAGCACCAGGGGTTTCACACTTCGGTGTTGGGTATGAATGGCTTGCGACGGCTATTAAGTTGGAGATGGCCATTTCAATCAGGGTAATAAAGCTCTTGTTCCAGCGATCGTATCTCCTTCTTCGCGATTACTTCCTGGATCTCGTCTCTTCTCTTCTATCTCCTCTGTCTATCTTCTTTTTGTTATTATGAATATGCAAAACGTGGCAGGATAGAAGTAAGGAGGGTAATAGTTATTAGAAGATCAGTTACTCGAAAAACTGGCGTCCCCATGTTTCTGGCCAACCATTGGCGCTCTGCAATGACTCGTTAAGAGAGGCGGACGTGCACAGTGGCATAGTTGGAGTTTCCAACGACGAGAATGATGTGAGTAACCACGTAGGTCAAGGGACATATGCAAATCGGATCAAAACATGATGTTTTCAGCAATGGCAAGACACCACATATCACGCATGATGGTCACTGGATTTAACCAATCGAAAGTAGACTTCGCCAATTATCACTGATAGGCCCTAAGTTGCTGATTCTCAGATAACCGCACACGAACACGTTCGACGAACTGACTGATCATATACATTAACTCCCGCATATGGAGACGACTTTTGTTGTCTGACATTTTAGTTGGAAATGCCTAAGGCCAGCAGTAGTCTGACAAGTGTTTTTAAAGTTCCTTGTTTGAAAACCTGGGAAAATCACGATTTTTTTCAGTTCATTGCAGATTCATGGTAACGCAACAGAGTACAAAATTGAGGCCCACATGTCTTTCTCATATTGACAGACTGGGTTTCAAGGAAGCTAATGAGTTATTTGACCTTATGCCTAACGTCAGTCCATGAATATAATCTTGGAAACAATGTTATGAAACTTACAGAGGGCAAACGGCTCAGATGTAATTGGTTAGGTCAGTTGTTGAAACGAGATGGAGTACTAGTTCGTGCTCCCTAAGGACACTAGCAATTGCGAAGATTTTTGGCAAACGGTCGAATACGCTTGAAGGTCCGATGGCCTGGCTACACGATTCTCAAGTCCGCTTATAAACGCCACCGCAGCCTCAATACCACCATGCTTGACCAACGACACTCAAGGCCTCTCACACCCTCTTACGCATTGGTCTTTCAAGAGTTCGTTCACGTGCTTTCTCGGTCTCTCGTTCAGGCAAATTAAAACAAAGATTGATGCGCGATTGGGTTCCTCGTAGCTTGGAGCAAGACGGACATACGTAGACCGTGATATGGACGCCGAAAACTAATACTTGTGTGAAGTCTTGATTTACACAGCAGGAATGCTAACGCGGTTGTGAGTTGCTATGCAAAAAAGAGAGGGGACATAGCTACTTCATCATCTAGTCTGCCACGAATATTTTGCGGCTCCCCACCCCTTATTCGCAGGGAACCTCGGCTTTGAAATAAGGCAGACGAAATCAAGATTCTACCTGGAGATCGTGGTAATTGTCACTTTTTTATGTAACGCTTAAGCGGCCAATTTGACGTTGGTTTAGAAAAATAAAGCAGGTCATTGAAAGTAAAAAAAACTTTCCATGATATCTGAGTATGTGGATTTACCGATTGGATGTTGCCTGCTCAAAGCGAATATGCATGCGCCTTTCGTTTAAAAGATCCTCAGTCCACAATGGTAACGCTTGTACTAGGCGCCATCGGAAACAAGTCATAATTTTCGGTGCATAAATTCGTAGGTGAACGGGTATGCAATTCGAATTCTCCTCAACACACTACAATCACTCCTAAATTTAAAAGTCTGTGTTTGCTTTAGTGTGAAGCCAAGGGCTTTAAGGGCGAGGTGAATGTTTAAAAAGCATCAGTTATATTTCCAAACAAGGAATACAAGTCAAATCATATGGTCATCCAACGCTATGGGGAGACTGGAACAATAACTGGTAGCCTCCTGCGCTTATTGACAGTGACCATTAATAGTTCCACTAGTTTATTTCGACCCCTATCAAATTTTCGATCATAGTGTTTGACATTTCTATGCTTGAAACTTCTGACTATCTTAAAATGTTGCGGCTTGTGTTAGGGTAATGGTTGTAGGAAATAGTGGGAACAGACGGCGAAGTAGCGCCGCATTAAGCCGTTGTGGTTTTTGTCGTTACCCAACATACAAACAAATTAGCACCCGTCCGCAATCTGAGGTCGAAAACGCTAACTTCGATCCGTCCAAATTGATATGGCCTCTTTGACACTTCCGGCCACTCCATGAAAAATATCAAAATTTTCCTTTCTGTGCTTCCACTCATGCTGCATTTTTACAGTTTTTGGGACTAAATCGCAAAGTGTGGCCTGATACGTCACTCTGTCATAGGTTGTTCATCTGACGACTAGTCACGTTTAACCCTTGCTGGACATTGTCAGCGTATGTTTTGGAGTAATTACTGCAGTATTTTCATTTCGGTCGTTTTTTTGTGGTATAAGTTGTAAACGGCAAATGGCGTTCTGCCTTTCCCTAATAATTCACTTTGGCTGTAATGGAAATATTCGATGGGTTAGCGTCGTAAACGCTTTTCTCACCATGGCAGTGGTCTGAAGCAGTCAAGCTGAAAGTAATATTGACACATCTGATATATAAAAACCGTCCTATCACAGTTTAGACAGGTTCGCGTGGGATTCAAACTGGGATGTGTCTGTAAAATCAAAAATATAAAATTTAAATTTCGCAAACCCCACAGCATAGGACGTTCCAGTTCCTCCAAGAGGTTCGTTGTGCTCAAACAATAGGAATGACACAGGGCCTTGGTTTATTTTTCCAAAGAATAAAACTGTTTACATTATGGTAACTACCTGTCCGTCTTATGCTTCTTACATTTTTGTATCTTGCTGCCATTACCTTGTTTAAATTTATATGCACGCAACGTAACGCTGTCATTGACGTTTTTAACCGGTAGAACTGAAATATGTGAGTCTACAAATGGGACATGGGCATAGGAAACGCCTCCCATACGGACGGTCTCGAGCTAGCTTCCGATTAAATAAGGGTGAGCAAAGGGACACGACCAATGTAACAAGAACTTTGTTCGTCTGATGTGCCGGATTCCTGCTCAAACCCACCGTCAGAGACCAAAGGCAGATACAGGTAGTTCATGTACAAGGGGCTGCATTATTTAGAGGATGCAGACGCCATGCTACTGCACGGCTCCCCGCCTCATCACGGATGGCGGCTGTGATGACTGTTCGATGTCCGAGATTCGCGTCGTTAATCGCAGCAATGTCATCGCGGGTGTGGGATTTTGGTGTAATGAGTGCTCGACCATCTGAACCACCGACGCCGGTATTCGGAACAGTGCTCGTCCGTGCGTTCCCCGTTTGACAAAGTCTTAGCTCCGAATTCGGAAAATAGAAGTCATTGCGCCCGTGAATAAACTGTGACTAGTGAGCCATAGCTGATGAAGCGGCTTGCACGGTTTTGTACCTCTTTTGGGAAGTTTGGCCTCATCGAATTGAAATATGTGCCTTGTCTTGTCAGTTTAACCGCATTTTTCTTCGCACTGATGCCACGTGTTCGGGCATTCGCGTTCTGTTTTCCCAACATAGGTCCTTTGTCCATAAATGCATTAGACCCAATAAACGACCTCAAAGGTCCGTTAGCGTTGCACTCGTTTTTTCGGTTTTACTATCTGACACCCGATGGCTGCCTCTGGTCTGTGTGCAACTCAAACGCCAAGTGATGCGAAAAGGCCGGCGATGGCTTCCGGTGCGTTTATGACATGCGGGTGCGCCCGACAGTATTTGGAGTCAGAGCGATTCGGCCTAACTCCCCGTTTACATATGCCTCCGTTGGAAAGACTGCGTGGATAGCCACTAGCCTCGTATGCCCGTCGATGATATTGAGTTCCTCAATCTAGTATACGGGCTCACCAGAGCGCGTTTCAACACGCCAATCAAGCGTCCTCACCAAGTGCGTTTGCTGGCTGATTGGGAGGTTGCTCTTTAAATTTAGTACTTTGTCGTATTTTTCGCTTTTTTGAAAAAAATCTTTAGATTACAACAATCTTTGAGACATACCAGAAAATCCTGGAAGGCCAGTTGGCTGCTTTCTTCTTGTTCTTGTTCTTGTTCTTCCTCTTCTTCCGTCTTAATTCGTATGTCCGGAAACCAGTGTGGAGACGTTTTTTCGACGTCAGCAGTTGATCTCTGCCGATACTGACGAAGGTATCATTTGCATACCAAGCCCAGAACTTCGGTCTGTGGCGTTGGAGACCAACGACTCTAACCCTTGTAAGACCG